GGATGAGACCAGCTATTTTCTAGACCTTGGGTGGCCATGGGGAGATAGTTCTCCATGGGCTTCTTGCATTTCTGCCCATTTTGCAAATACTAAGAGATACCGAGACCTTGGTTCTGGCCTAATTTTTCAAGATTGTTTGCAGAGCAAACAGCCTTGGAAAACAGAAGCAAGGATAGGTATGTGGACTGCCCATGATCAGAGAATTAGCTTTCCTAAGAGCAGGAGTTCTGTTCTCTCTGGTAACACAGACCAATGAGTATTTGGGAGGCACTTGGCCCTTCTGTATGTTACTCTTTGGGAGGCGGGACTCAGGATTCTGCTCCTCTGGCTACTCCTGTTGCCATGAGTAATGACATCTTTTGTTTCAGATACAGAATCTATGGATTACAGCCAACCTGTTCACTTCAAAATAGGATACCATCTCATGTCATCCCCACTGTGTGAGTATAGTAAGGTAAGATGCATTATTTCAAGCATTGTGATGTTTAAATCAGCCCAGCTGGTATGGCTCAGTGGTTGAGTGTTGACCTATGAACCAGGAGGTCACGGTTCAGTATCTGGTCAGGGCACATGCCTGGGTTGTGTGTATGTGTGTGTATGTGTGGGGGGGGATGTGGAGGAGGCAACCAATCAATTATTTTCTCTCATCATTGATGTCTCTATTTCTCCCTCTCCCTTCTGCTCTGAAATAAATAAAAAATTAAAAAAAGAATTAACTAGAGCATTGGTTTTAACAAATACTTGTAACATATATTAACTAACCCTTTTCTCGTGGCTCAGTCAGGTAAGTTTAGAATAGTACTAAGGAGAAATATTTCATTAGAATATAGCATGCACATTTATTCAGCATTAATGGCAAGGATAAAATTACATTTGCATAATGTATTGCATGCTCTTGACAGCCAGTGCACTCTATACTGTGTCCAAAAGTTGCCATTTTTCTAAGCCTACCATTTTAATCTTGAGAGAAAAGTAATTTTAAGTTAAAAGAATTGTATCGTTAATATTTTTAAGGTATTTTCTACCATAAAGATCCTCAATTATTTTCTCATATTTCATGTCCCCAAGAAATATTTTTCCCCCAGGGCATGTTTCTGAAATACTCATACTTAGCAAAAATATATGTTTGTTCACATTCAAATATGATTATAGTTAAAAAAAAACCAAAAAACTGGTGTGGCTTAATTACTATATTTTAAATTCACGGAACATCATAATTGTTAATACGTTTGGTAAGATTCTCTTAAAATCTTTATGAAGCCTAATTTAAAAAACAATTTTAATGAACTATAATGCAGTTTCATAATTTAGACATTTCATAAAATAAGCATTTTCATTAAGTACTCACAAAGGGCTTTAAATACCTTTTAATTTCCTACTGTAGATTTAATACAAGTAATCCACATAACAGTGTTCTTATTGTATTTAGGTTTTAGAATTACGTGAAAAGTGAAAATTCAGTGGCATAATAGTGTTCCTTTTCATTACACAAATTTAGTAGATTTTAAAAATAGTGCCTGATAATTATAATGTTAATAGTGATAATAAATATATTACAAATTAGAGACACGCATATTTCATAGCGTGTTTATTTTTAACACAATCTTTCTTGGATTAGTAAGTTGGGTGGCTTGTTAGGGACTAGCAATATCCATGCAGAAATAAACGCTTACTTTCAAGAACTAACATGCTTGCCTGGCCGGTACGGCTCAGTGGGTTGGGTGTTATCCCATGGATCAAGAGGCTCGGTTCAATTCCAAGTCAGGGCACATGCCTAGGTTGTGGGCTTGATCCCCAGTATGCTGGAGGCAGCTGATCAGTGATTTTCTCTCATATTGATGTTTCTATCTCTCTTCCTCTCTATTTAAAAATCAATAAAAACATTAAAAAAAAAAAGAATTAGCACACTTTATTGTATACACTTCTCTTAATTGCTCTTTGGTTTCTGTGTTTTCCCTACTTCTATTTCCGTAGTTATCTTATTTTCTCCTCCTCCTCTCCCCCCTTTACCTCCCCCTCCATTTTCCTCTTCTTTCATCCCCTTCTCCTTCTCATCCCCCTCCTCTTCCCCCTCCTATTATCACTCTTCTCTCCCCTCCCCTTCCCCTTCCCCCTCCTCTCCCTCCCATTTTCCTCCCCTCCCCCTTCCCTTTCCCATTCATTCTCCCTTCCCCTTCTCATCCCCCTTCCCCTTTCCCCTCCCATTATCCCTCCCTTTTCCTCTTCTCTTTCCCCCTCCCCCTCCCCCTCCTCCTCCTCCTTCTCCCCTTCCTTCCCTTTCTCCTTCTTCTCCTTTTCATGCTTAGAGGGCTGGGCTATGGGAGTATTCCACAGGGATGACAGGTGGAGGGGGAGGAGGGAGAATCTGGAGTGTTTCCCCCTCTCTCTGTCTTGGGTGATGCCTCTAACAGGGACTGCCTTCTCCATGCCCTCAGATACAGCCCTCCTGTGGGTTCCAGCTTCAGCGGGTCAGCCTTCATCATGGCGTTCGGGTCCCACCAAACACTTGGGGCTTTTGATGTGGTTAACAAGCCCTCCACGAGGTGTGCCTCTAGCCCTAAAAGCAACAGCGGCTTCATGCTGATGTTCATGTGTTTCAACTCCATTCTTTGCTTTGCTTTTCCACTCACCCATCACTTTTATAACATGCTTGACATTCCTGCAAGGGGCTTGGCCTTCACAGATGTGGCAGCTTGCCTCGGCCCTCGCAGCCCTGGCTTCGTCCAGAAGGTTGTCTGGAAGGAAGTTTGTCCTAATGAGCATATTATGCTTTTATTATTATAGATTCTCTGTGCTGAATTTTCTTTTCCCTATTGGACCCTAACTCTTGAAGTGATAATATTTTTTTCCTTGTGCACACTAGTCAGACTTTCTTCATTTTCTTTTGCTTCTTTCTCCTAGGTTTTTCTCTCTTCTCTTTTATTTGCTCTGTAACTGGCATTGACTTTTCACAGATAGAATAGACTATAACTCCATCCACCCAACATAGCAATATGTAAAACACAGTCAACTGCATTTCTTATTAAGCATCTCGTGTATCTCAGTATAAAAGAAAGAAGTGAGAAATGTCTTTTAAAAAAACAGTTAATCAAAGCTGTAACTGTGTACATAAGTGTTTTTATACTTACTATCTGGCTACCTGTCTAGTCCCCTTATTAATAATTTTGGCAATAAGTATTTTATATTTGTATTTGAATCATATTTTTAACTTTTAAAACTTGAAGCTTGGATGGTAAGTTGATGCCTCTCTTTTTTCTTATCTGATCATCTGCTCTTTAATGATTTCTATACAACATGGTGTTGGATAATTAAGAGTGGATTTTCCTCTGTTGCTAATCTTAAACGTCAGTCTAGACATTCTCCTAACAGGACTCCACTTAAAGGCTGCTTTGAGTTATTATACTTCATCTTTTAAAAAAATTATTTTTATTGATTTCAGAGAGGAAGAGAGAGGGGGAGAGAGATAGAAACATCAATGATGAGAGAGAATCATTGATAGGCTGCCTACTACATGCCCCTCCTACATGGAGATTGAGGCCGCAATCCAGACATGTGCCCTCGACCAGGAATCCAACCACGATCTCCTGGTTCATAGGTCAATGCTCAACCACTGAGTCACACTGGCTGGGCCAAAGTCTTTTTCATATATTGAAATAATTTTTAAATTTCCTAATTAAGTAGAGACTAAATTAAGGTTAGAACCTTCAGAATAAATGTTGTAAAGTATATAGCGCTTCCCAATGACTTTTTTTTTCCTTTAAAAAAATTTTGCAAGTGTACAGGGAGTATCCCATTTGCATGTATTTAAATGTTTATTTTTGATGACGAAGGGGAGACAAAATTTTGTCTATCAAATGAATTGCTGTGGAAACATAAAAATGTCATGTTGTTTTTTCCTTCATTTTTTAATGTTCAAATAATCTGCAAAATAGAGACATCAACAAAGATAAATAAATCTGTGCAAAAAACATGGAAAGACAGAAGATCTGTTGAATCCCTATAGCTTCTCATATTGACAGGAAATCAGTCACACTTATCATAGGACATTTATATACAGAAAGAAACCATTTGGGAACTTCTCCAAGTAAATGCAATTTATGATTTCTTTGATTTTTATCAACAAGTTCCAGCACTGAATGAGTGAATGGACACTTAACTCCATACTTACTTGAGTGTGCCATGTTGCAATAATTTGTTTTTTATGGAACCATTGTTGCTATGCAGTCCATCATGTGAAGACTTATCCATGCTTCTTATTTCTTCTCTTTTCCTTATATTCTTACTAATCTAAGAAAATCAATCTTCCCCACCCTCAAGGCCTTTCCGTACATGCCTAGGTGATTCCGTTGAATTAAACCAAATGGTATATTTTGACAAAGTTTGATCAGTGGTATTGTTGGTGGTGGTGTGTGTGTTGTGTGTGTGTATGTGTGTTACTAAATTTTTAAAAAAATTGCTCTGGGAGTCATAGCAGTTTAGGTAACCACCACATTATTATTTAGCAGATCCTGATAAAAAAGAAATAGTTGAATACACTCAAGGTGTTTGATTCAGATTTGTGTTTTATAGACGTGAGGTTTTTTTTTTTTAAATAATGCAAAGAGTATTTTAAATCATATTTATGATGCTAAACAGCCTTCCACTCAGCAACATGAAGATATATAGTGTCTTGAATTTATAATGCTGTAAGACTATCCACTCATGTTTAAGAGCGTTTTATATCTCTACAAACTCCCTTTGAACTCTCCCAGTAGAAAAATTTTAAGTATCCGATAAGAGGAATACATTCTAAACAAATGACTGAGAATTTCAGGCTTCATCATTAAAGCGTTATTTTTTCCATCGGAATAAAACATATTTCCTAAACCCTAAAAAACTTACATGGTGCTTGTACCTGGAAACCATTTTTGCCTTGAAGTTGTAGTGATTGCATTGATCTGTTCAATCAGTTGTTTCCCCCCCTAATTATAACCTGCTTATTAGTGTGTCCTTCATCTTCCCTACAAGAAAGGGAGCCATTTTTTATTGTTTCCAACCTGGTTGCTATCAACCAGTTTCTTGTAAATCTCCGACTTTAGAAACCGCGGGAACGAATCCTTGGCCATGAGGCTGTAGATTAGCTTCTGAGCCTCATCAAAACACTTGACAGTGGGCTCTGCAATGTTCTTAGTGATGAGGTCCCTGGTACTGAAGTCGATGTTAATCTGGGGAAATAAGGTTGCGCATCATGAGATTAGCTTAATCAAAAAATACACCGTTTAGACAGATGGCAGACACACGTGCTATTTGAGTTTGTTTTTTCTTTTCCTAAACACAAAGAGAACCTGATGCAAACCGGCAGAAAGGTCATGAGCTCATTTTCAGATGCAAACACACGCTGGGTGCATTGTTTCTGGGTTGGGAGGCTTGGCGTTGACAGAGAGCACAGCTGAAGCCTTACTTTGAGATTATATAAAAAAATGGCAAAGCGAAAAGGCAACCAAAATATTTTATGATTTTTAATTGCTTTTCCCCACCCATCCTTTATTCTCTCCCCCCACCCAGTGTTTTGACCTTAATACCTAAAATGTACCTTCCAGAGGTGGACAAAAACTAGGATTTACTAGGATGGCTTCCACTAACTCATTCCTATTACTTTTCATTCTATATTCATTCTATATTTGGTTCCAATGAACCAAATCATACACCCCTTCTACACCAACCCCATGCCATCCACAGGTCCCCCCTCCCCTTTTATGGCCTCTCCAAGGACTTTGTGTTACTTAGAGGATATTTGCCTTTTCTGCAGCATCTCTCCCAATGCCTTGCACAGGATAAGGACTGGATAAATATATGTTGTATAAATAAACTGGGAAAATGTTTCTACATTTGTTCAAAATCATGTTTACATTTTGAAAAAAACCAGTTCATTTTAGTGTAGTACTGATCATAAATATTATATATGGAAATAATTAATCTTGCACTTCTGGCTTATCCGTTTCATTCTCTGGCCCACTTGCTTTTCTACCAAGGGCCTGCCTACTGGTCTTAGGAAGATGGGTCTTAGCAACTCAGCTTAATCTCAGGGGCCAAATATCACACCCTCATGTTGGCTTAAATGTCACTATTTTTCTCCAAGTTGTTCAAGCTTGAAACGTGGGCATTATATTTTTGACACCTCTTTTATTTCTCTTCCCTCCTATCATATAAATATACAACATTTATACATTACATGCATATGCAGGGTGTCCCCCAAAACATGTATACACACTTTTAACAGCTGATAGCACGATTGATGTTTCTTTCTTTTCAAATATAATCCATTGGGATTAATAATGTCAGCCAGTAGGTATACATTTTTTCGGGGACACCCTGTATATTTTCCCTCATTCATCTTTTCCTTTGTCATTTCCCAATGCTCATTTTTTCATCCTCACTGCTATCTGTCTAGCTTCGTTGTTGTTTTAAAAATCCCGAATCTATTCCCAAACCAAGGAACTTGCCTCTTACTTGGTACTTCTTCTCATAATGTCTTTCCCTTCTGAATACTCTGAGATGGCATTACTACATCACTTTCACCAGAATGTCATTTCCATAGGATAAGTATTCAGCTGAAAACCTATTTTTTTATGACATAAAATTTACACTTCGTACCCTGGCTCTTGGATTTCCCCACACCTGAATTCCAGTATGCTATCCCCGAATGGTCTACTTGTCCTGGTGGGAGCTCTGAAGCTGGTCTAATTTCCCAGAGCAAATCTGACACCTAAAGCTCTCATTTATGCATTTCAATCATCTTGCTTAAATAGATTTGGGTACAAAGGCATTTGTGAGTGTTAAGTATTCAATCCGATTATCAGAGGAAAAGGATTTCTTAATTCTCTGGCGTCTCCAAGTTCTGCTCCAAGTCTTTCTGGAGGTGTTTTTTTGTTTTGTTTTGTTTTTGTTTTGCTTTTTTTTTTTTTTTTTTTTTTCCCTGGTGGCTCTGTCTTCTCTTATGGCTTCCATGTGGTATAATAGCTTGGTGTGGATAAAAGGAAGAAAAATTAGGAGATCATGCCAGAAGTTCATGTGGGCAGTGATGGTGATCTAGGCTGAGCAATGTCACAGGAAATGAAGGGAAACGCATAGATTTCAAAGGGATCTAAAAAGTAAATGGATGGAATTTGCGATTACATAGTTATGATCTGGGACAAGGAACACAAATCTTTAAGAGTGACCCGCTTTTAGAAAGATTCTGAATAATGAGATGACAGAAGTTCTGATGGATTGGATATGGGGTATGAACAGAAGAGAAAAATCAGGGATGACTACCAGGTATTTTGCTAGAGTAATGAGAAAAATGCTACTGCTTCTGACTGAGATAGAGAGACTCAGGTGGAAGAAAGTTTGAGTAGGAAATCAGGACTCAGATGTGAATGTGTTAACACTGAGATGCCCCTGACAGCCATGGCCTGGGAGAGATCCCGAGAGAGCTACTGCCAGCAGAGAATGAACAAGGAACACCTCCCTCATCATACTGGGTGTTGGTTAGGAGTGGAAATGGCATAAGGAATCGTTAAACAGCACAGGGCAGAGAGGAGGAAATGAAATGCCAGAAGCCAGTTGGAGACAGTAATCAACTACAAGAGGGATCAATTTTGCAAAATGCTCTGGAGAAGTCCATTTAAGTGAAATTCGAGGATAGGCTACCAAAAGCGCTCTATTTTCCTTCACTTCTCTGAAATCTCAGTATCAGGAAAAAAGTGAAAACATTAGTCCCAATATGTACATTTTCACTCAGAAATTCCTTCAATAGAATCACTCCTGGAAAGCATATCTGTGGACTTCACCTCTAACTTTTCACTCATTTCAAATATAGTTTTTGATTGGATTCTACCAGGAGATACATTTCTATCTCAGACAGTCAGACACCAGTGGTGCTGAACTTGGAATAAAGCAACAATGGGGGGAATTACCCAGGAGTGACCTTCAGAGAGGAATGCTTTCCATCTGTACCATCTTGAGGAACTGCTGAGTCATTGAAAGTTACCCAGAAGCTTAGATTTTGCCAAGCATCTCAAACTAGTAGGTTTGGACCTTTTATCAACTGATGAAATTAACAGTTCCTTTAACATTATTTATTGATACAAGTAAGTCGCTTGCATTTTGTTTGCATGGGTACTCTTCAGTTTCAAGGACTCTGAGCGGTATGATATTTTAATTCCTTACTTTTCTAAAGGTCACAGATTATCTTAGAAATCTGAAACCACTTCACTGCCAACCTCAGAAAACCAGATGAGGGGTTGTGATTCTTACCGGATGGCAGCCTCAATGTCATCACAACCATTTAGAGGCTTCTAAATCCTGTCTGTTTTGAAAAGGCTGCAATACATCTGACATCAGAATGCTGTCCCTGGTGGCTTTTGAAAAACTACAATAATCCTATCTAATAAAGGGGGAATATGCTAATTGGTGCTCATGCCATTGCAAAAATGTCAGTGCCCACAGCCAATAAAGAGGGAATATGCTAATTGACTGCTCTGCCTTCAAAGATGGAGGCATTCACAGCCAATAAGGAGGGAATATGCTAATTGACCGCCATACCCTCAAAGATGGTGGCACCCACAGCCACAAGATGGCAGTACCCAGTACCCTCACTCCTGTGGCAGCAGCAGAGGTGTGATGGGTTGTCACTTTCCCCTGATCGCTGGGTCACCTCACACCACTGAGGGTTCTGGGACTGTGAGAGAGAGCAGGCCAGGTTGAGGAACCCCCCTCCAGTGCATGAATTTTCATGCAGCAGGCCTCTAGGAAAGGTATAATATACTTATTAGATGGGGTAGCCAAATGACTTTCCAGGTGACCCTCCAGATGAAGCTGGGGACACACCCCTTGCATGAATTTCATGCACCAAGCCTCTAGTTTTATTGTAAAGATCCGGGATATTTTCCGTGCTCTTGTGATCCATGCCCAAGTCCCCTTTTCTACGCCAGCAGTTTTAAATTCTCTGGGCTGTCAGCACATTATTTTTCTGCAGGAAGAGTACATTTCACAGTGTCCCCTTTTGGCTTTCCTCTGACCCTGTACTGAGCTTGATATATTTTCACGTGATTTGAATAAAAGGTTGTCAGTGGTGCCCTTGCATTCAAATGAGGTAGCCTTCCTCATTCAGGCTGTACGTGTATCAGGAGATTCGTTATGCAAAGGTGTGTGCCTGTGTATGTAAAAGGCCCCCCTAACATGGGGCAGGCGGCCTGTTAGGGAGCCCTCCCTCACAGCAGCGCTTAAAAAAATCCCTCTTCAAATCAAAGCCGCCTATAATCTTGCTTTGGGTGACATCATTCTATGTAATCGCCACTCACTCCTCTAGTCTTCCTTCATTTTGGCATCATTAAAGGCTAACACACTTCCTGAGTGATAGTCTCAAGGGTGATGGTTAAGGTTGAGAGTGGAAGGCTTTCTAACATCTGGAAGAATTCTATCCATGATTGGTTTTAGAGACAGAAATAAATGATGCACAACACTAACACCTTCACTAGGGCAAGAGACACGAAAGAAACCATCATATATCCAATCATAATGGTGAACACCACAATGTATATGGACAGCTAAAAATCCTAACACAACCACTGTCAGCTAGATAGAACCATAAAGAAGAAGAAGAAAAAAAATCTGGCTTTCAACCCAATATCACTATAAATAGGATATCTTTAGAGTTGATTTCAAGGTTTTTAGGGGGATGATGCATTAATCAACGTGATGAATCTTATATATTTTACTTTTTTTTTTTAGAATTGTTTATTGAATCTTTACATGGTGACTGGAAAATGAATGTTGAAATAGATCCAGAAGAGGTGAATTTCTTCCTACAAATTCACCTCTTTTTCCTCCTATAAATTCTTTTTTTGTCTTCCTACAAATTCTTTTTCTTTTTCTCCCGCTTCAGTGGTTCATATTTCTGGAATGTCCTACTGGGCCAATATGTGCTGTTGTAATTAAGTTCCATGTAAAACTTGAACTACGGCAAGTTTATGCCCTAGATTTTGTGAAAGTGTTTGCGTTTCATCTATTGTGTCTTTTGTCCCCATAAGTAAACAATCCTTTTTAAACCACGAGTCCCAATTTTGGATCAGAACATATGGTAACTGTCGCTTAGAAGGATGTGGGTATTGCCCCTCTGGGAAGATGACTTGGACTGGGTAGTTAATGTAACTTCCTGTTTGCTACGTAGCCATCAAAATATATTCAGTGAGGAATCAAAGCAGTTTTAAAACAGAAGTTGCTTAAACTTGAAAGTTAAACACTAGAGGGGTGTTTAACTTTAAATCGAGATGATCATGATTTTAGTACTAGAAATTAAATCAAATAAAAATGGGATGTTAGCATACAACACTTTGGGGGGCTATTATCAAAGTCATTCCAGATTTCTCTCTAAGGCCCTCCCCTATTTTTCGGACCCTAAAATGGTACAGGTGGGTCCTGATCACTTGCGACAGTGTCTCCCACCTTTGGCTCATTTTTACCATCCAAGAAATACAGGTCAGAAAACCCTTCTTTTTCGGAAAGGAAGACATGTTTATCTGCCATAGTGGGGACCTCCAAAACATGAGACAGAAAGAACTTATACTGTTGGTCAAGACTTGTTTCTTTTCCTACACATTTTTTCCTTTTTCTAATAAAAATATATTTTTACTGATTTCAGAGAGGAAGGGAGAGAGAGATAGAAACATCAATGATGAGAAAGAATCATTGATCGGCTGCCTCCTGCATCCCCCTGTGGGGATCAAACCTGCAACCTGGGCATGTGTGTGCCCTGACCTGGAATTGAACCCGTGATCTCCTGATTCAACAATGGAGCCACACGGACCAGGCCCATATGCTATTTTTAATTAAAAAAAAATTTTTTTTTTCAAAATTCTATTCCACATTGACTTCCCTGATTTTGAAAAGGAAAGACAAGACGAACTCGAAATCCAAGAGGGATTTCTGTAGAGTTAACTCCAGAGCTGTTTAATCTGAGAGAGCAGGTACTATTTCCCCAGAGCCCCAGTGCTGTGCTAAGGAGACAGACACGGGGCTGAGAAATACTTGTCTCGTCAGTGAAGGAGGGAGGGTCATATCTACCAGAGTTTACGGACACTTTCTATTTGGATACTTAGCGGCAATTTGATTTCCCGTTAGCTGGCATCAGTGCCTTTTAATTGCAAGCAGATTTGCTGGGAGATGCATATTCATGAAGCTGGGATCTCTCACTCACCTCTTTGGGGGCATCAGCCTCAATGAATTCAGAATAAATCATCTTGGCCTTGGAAGCAATTTTTTCGGCACTTTCCGTTTTCTTGAAGTCTTCACAAGCAAGCCAGAACTCAACGTTTTCTTCACTAAATTCTGATTTCAGAAATGTTCGAAAAGCCTCTAGACCAGCTATAAGATACGTAAGAAAAATTTTGGATGCCATATAAGCCAGTAACATGCCCCAAATAAGTATATGATACAGGGCGAGCATTCATGGAGTCTTCAGTGGCAAACATTTATCATTCCTCTAAATATGACAGTTATATGTTTAAGCTTTTCACTTAAAAAACCTTACTTGGATCAGTCATCATAAATATAAAATATTGTATCTGTAGTTCTACAATTAGCTCCATTAACCAAGAAAACCTGTACTTTTTCTCTCTAAATCCAAGGAGTCCAGGAATTATATTTAGGGGAAAGTCTTAAAGCCAGTTACTTCATAGAAAAACCCAGGAACTGTGCTTTTTAGACCCATTGCACTGAGCTCAGACCAAGTTAATGATGTTTCTAATTTAAAGCCAGAATTTATTTAAAAAATTATCTTCATTTATTTCAGAGAGGAAGGGAGAGGAAGAGAGAGAAGTCGATGATGAGAAAGAATCATCAATCAGCTGCCTCTTGCACACCCCGAATGGGGATGTGCCTGCAACCTGGGCATGTGCCCTGACCGGAAATCAAACCGTGAGCTCCTGGCACATCAGTCCATGCTCAACCACTGAGCCACACCGGCCAGGCATAGAGTAAGAATTTCTTGGCTGTTCTGAGTTTTTGGAAAAACACAGTTTGATGCTGGGAGATTACATCATGTTGGTTTGGCTTATTGTAGCGAAGGAGAAGGAGCTGGCATTCATTAGTTTGGGGTGAATATATTGGCCAACTCTAATCCCTAACCAAAAAGGTAACTGGAAAGATATTTGATGTGAATGCATCTCCCTTTAATAGGTGGAGTAAAATAGCTTAATATTTTTTAAATTAAATTTTTGCAATAGAGTTGAAATAAAAAGTCACTGCAAAAGGTTATCGGGTGCCAATTAAAATTCTCTGTAGAAATATTGGAGACTATGGATGCCGTTAATATGTGAGCACTATAAAAAGTTCAGTGACCTGCATGCTTCCTGAGTTTAAAAATACACCCATGAAGCTCTGAGCACACAAATTCAGGTTCTAAAAATCCTCTTAGTAGCCCTTAGAGAAAATTTACTAGGAATTTGGTCCAAACAATGTGGATTTGAGGGTTCTACACAGAATTTATGACAAAATGTATTATATATTGAAGATAAAATATGCTCTTAAGAATACTGAAAGAGTAGTGTAGGTTCATGAAGGCACATAAATATTTCTCCCAATGAAGATGAAGATGATCTAAATACAACCTAGAGAGACAGGTGGTTAGAGATCAATAAGCAATCCTTGTGTTCTCCCACCCTGAGATTTCAGTGAAGGAGCATTCTGGACTAACAACTGTTGTCATTCAGGGATACAATGGAACAGGATACACAACCCAAACCGAAGCTAGTGATCGCTGTCATGGACACACTATTTATTGAACTATTTTTTTCCTATTCTATACATACAATTTCGATGTTGAAAAGATGTCTAGTGAATTTGGAATAATATGCTGCATACAATTAAAATCCAATTATCTGAGGGCACGCTCTGAAGGGTGGAATGGCCGTTGGTTAGATCCAGCAGGGGCTGGTGAAAGAAAGAATTCAGTCATCCTTGGAGAAACCTATCTAACGCCTATGCCCAGTGCAGGGGAGGCATCTCCTCAGGTCAACAAAACAGTTAGGTAATCTGGTGAGCCCTCTTATTGCTGAGAGCATTGAAGGCATGCGAGCTCTTTCTCTGGGGGTATAAAATAGAGAACCAAACAGCTGTTCAGATGAATCTGTGGGCATGAATTATACACCCCAGGAGATGTGCCTACTCAAGCATCTGCTCTGGTCTCAGAGGCTCACGCCTGTGTTCTGTGGGACAGCCCCCCCCCCCCCTCCACTCCGAGCTGCAGTCACCTCAGGCTGAGAAACTTCCTCCTCTGAGCTAATGCAGCCTGTCCCACTGGGTATCCGTTTAAGGAAAAGGGAAAACAAATGGTGCCATTCAAAACTTACAGAAATGCAATTCTGTGTTCTTGAGGTGTTCCCTCTTTGGCCTTAGCTGGATTATAGGATGAAGGTGAATTATTTTATGTCTGTGCTTTAAGAATGAGTTATTTAAGAGTGATAACATTAGAAGGCAGTTTCATCTAATTCAGTATAACTCTATATATGAATGACAGCTATGGAGAATTTGTTCAGCTTCGTCATGTGTTAGACTTTTCTAATATTCTGATACTTGATGGTTTTAAAATGGGAATGCCGTTTGATTAGTTCAAACAATATAATATTTTAAGATTTCTCCATATATGTCTCTGTAGTGACATTTCCCCCTCATTTGAGATAGAATTGCTACAGAACAGAATGATTTATCACAGAAGCTCCAGCAACTTTCATCAGTGACTATATTGTGTCATCTGGGATATTTTATTTATAATTGTCCAAGATTACCTTATTGAGCCATCCTATCTAATATAAATACACATTAACACGTGTACATTAGTATACACACACACATTTAAATATGGTTTTGTATTTCCTAAAAACAAGAGAAGCTCAGTTGAAATAAATACTTTGTAAACTTAACGTTGGCCTACAGGACACGAAAAACAAGCGATTTATTACCTAAGTTCGCAATTTTTCAATAGTTTGTGTTTCTTTCAACTTGTAAGGAAAATAGTCATTCTATACATCACATGATAATGAGTCTAAGGACATGACAAGGTTCCTCACTTGCTTTCTGATTTAGTGTTTGGAGTTTCTGTAACTGTGTTTTACTTCTGGCCCAACCCAATTCCACTTTGACTCTGGAACCTGCATAATTTATGTGACTGTGGGGAAACTTATACTTTGAATATAGATCAAAGTCACACTGACATGTCTATCACTTTCAGGATTTTACAGTTTACTTTTACGCGTTTGTACGTTCAGACCTAGTCTGAGTTGGTTCTCACCTTGGTTGGTTAAAAGAGTGTCCATGTTTTCACACCACGCCGCTGCCTCTGTCGTTGGTGACCTGTGGAAACAACATCTACCCTTGACAATAGCATTGTGATCTTTTTCTTCTGCAACCTATGGTCATATCTGAGTTACGAGTGCTTGTTGAATCACATCACTTAAAGGAACACTGCACCATGGGTCCGACTGCGAAAGATCAACCAGAATCACCCAAGGTGGGGCAAGCGTAGGTTTGCATTTATGAGTGCACTGAGCAGAGTTTATTCTTGTATAATTGCAATGCATAATCAGAATAACTGTGTATTGGTGTGTGTGTGTATGTGTGAGATTTGCCGTGAACATCCACCGTGGGGCTGGAGCCAGAATCACACTCAGTGTTTCATGGGGTTTTGGCTGATTTCCTTTCTGCTTTCTTCATTAAGCAAGCACCATCAAGGCCAGCAGTCCCCACATTCTGTGTCCAGAGAAGAGCCAGGCCAGATGGGAACTGCGTGAGAGCTACCAGTTACCCCGCTAATCGCGCCAGCCAGAACCAGTTGTATTGCATTAAAAACCGTGGCATCCAACGACTTAGCTGTTCACAGTCAATTAGCTGTGCACTGGAGGACGGGAAATTCAAGCCAGGAGCCCGTGTGCTTGGGGAAGTGACAGCTGCCTCCTTAGCCAGCATTTCAGAGCCATCTTCAAATTAGTAAGTAAATGTTGCGACAATGAATAACCTACGCGAGGATCATACATATATCTTTTGTCTCTAACTCAGACATTTAATTCGTTTGCAAAGCTTCACCTACAGGAAGCTCAGTGGTTTCCCTCCCTTCTATGACCTTTCTTTTATATCTGAGCAAGGATAAGAATGAACCTGAGTTGAGTTGTTGACATGTCTTAGGAATGGGCAAGAAATCAGTAGAGAAAAGAGAGAAAAAAATAAATCAGAAAGAAAGGCAACAATTAGCATATTTGTCATAAATGAAGGGAACAAGACACGATTCAAGTGTTTCATCTGCACATCTCCGGAGACAGAAATAGCTTTAAAGGGTAACTCACTTCATGGGCATCTTCCGTCGCTCTGTCTCACTGTCACGCGTGATGCCACGTTTCGCTTCCTGATGGATCTGGAGGCTGAAGGCGGTAGGACAGCGGGGACATCACCGTTACTATGCAGATATGTGTCCCCTGGCCACCATTAGCATCCTTTAAATCACAGTAGCCTCGGGTTTTCATTTAGTTGTTAACTTTCCTCTGGCCAAAACACTTAAACTCCTAAGTAACAAATGACTCTCTGAATCAAGGCGACATCGCTTCCAGTCTGTGGCTTCGCTGAAATAAATTCCATGTGAGAGTTTGGTTCCTAATGCTCATGGACATCCATTTGCAAGACAACTGTTGTTCGCGTGAGGTTAATTCAACTCAGAAAAGAAAAGGATAAAGCTTAATATTTACCCCCACGTCTCTCAGCTGTCAAAGATTATTTTGTTTTTCTTGGTTCTTTGGTTTTCAAAAGTCTGAGGAAGCCTCTTCTTTTAATAGTTATCTTACACAACTATATATGTCTATTTTTACAATTTTATTCATGGACTAAAATGTTACAGCATAAGGCAGTATGCGCTTTTTTTTTTTTTTTTTTTTTTTTGCAATGTGTGTGCTTTTCACAGCTTAATCATGTATATGTTTCTATTTTTAAAAAAATATATATTTTATTGATTTTGTACAGAGAGGAAGGGAGAGAGATAGAGAGTTAGAAACATCGATGAGAGAGAGTCATCGATCAGCTGCCTCTTGCACACCCCCTACTGGGGATGTGCCCGCAACCAAGGTACATGCTCTTGACCGGAATCGAACCCGGGACCTTTCAGTTCCCAAGCCAACGCTCTATCCATTGAGCCAAACCGGTTTCGTCTATGTTTCTATTTTTTTTTTTTTTTAAACCATGAATCTCATGGCATTTTATGCCAATATTTCTTTAGGAAATGCTCATGTTTAAGGTTAAATTGCTCGAGTATATTTATCAACACCAAGGCCACGTATTGCCATTTTTATTCGTGCTCAAAGTTGTACGTATAACCCCATGCTGCATCAAGCTTTTGTCCCAGTTCAGCAGAGTTCTTTTGGAGTAAAATTCTACTGGTGTATATTGATGACCCTCCGTGTAATCAGACACCCCTGGGAGACTGATGGACTTCAGGGCGGAAGGAAAAAAGGAGTCAGGAAACAGCAGAAAGCTGCGTGGCCCCTTACTGAGTGCGGACGCTTCCCCATTTGGTGGATCGGTAGGAATGCCACGGGCGCCTGGGCCGCAAGGGCCCTGGGCTAAGGCGCCTGATGGGAGGAGAAGGGATGACCCAAAAAGCCAGCGTCTCATTAAGAAAGGATCTCATCAATTAGCTCAGCCCATTTTGTTCATTCAAGCCCCATTAAGTCCTGTTCTTATGATATGCAAGAGCCGATTCATTAAGTAGATGTAGATTTTGTTTTGCTGAGGGGGGATGATGAAGTACTAACTTGACAACATATGCATGAACGTTGAAGGAAAAATAAACTGTTCAAATGTAAAGACATCCCTTCCCCTCCTCTTCCCCCATTAAAAATAGGCTAAGTCTGTAAGAAAGAGGAGCCAGAATAGGATTATTTTACATACACACTTTAAACTAAAAAACAAAATTTCTATTTTGCATTCAGAGCAGGATTCCTCATCACCCTTGACTGTTCACTTACTGGGCCCATCCCATTCCTCACATGCTTTTGATTTTTCAGGGAAAGATAGGAAGTGGACCCAATGAATGAAAACGAAGGCTCCTGATTCATGCGCGGTGAGTAAATATCCTGTCTTCTGAGGTTAAACAACTCTTTGTTGTGTCCAGTCATCTTGGCCAAATGGGGCCATACGTAAGTGTTACTGAGACATCTAAATATCGCCAACGCTTAGTCCCAGGGACTGCAATACCATTGGAACCCAGCTCCTGCTGGTGTGATGTGCTGAGTCATGTTCAGAGAGCATCCTACACAGTGCTATTTACTTATGTTTCCTTTATTCCTCTTCTCCTTGCTTGACACTCACAGAACCATAGTTAAGATGGAGCGTGGGATGCTATGGGCCGACCGCTAGCATCATGCAACCCACAGGGGTTTCTCTGTAAGGATATGAGATTTATTCTACAATGTTTTGAGTGTTTGCATTGTGTAAGAAATTGCTACAGGTGGTATAGGAATACAAAAATTCAGTCAGATTGCATGACATTGGCCATTTTGGAATATTGACCTGTGAGGTTGTGTGTAGAATGAGTTGGAAGAGTGTGAGGATAAAGGCAGTAGTGGGGAGAGGTAGAAGTACAGGTGGTGGTTGGAACAGGAGATGGTGGGTTCGAACAAGGGCCATGGCAGGGCATGCAGAAGGGCATGTCAGTCATGGGGTGCCCATGTAGAAGGGACAAGACAGAGTGAGTCACAGAGAGCTCAAACCTGGAAACCTGCAGATAGTCTTCCGACCAGCATATCTTCCTCACAATGATAACAAAAGAAGGGCTGGTTTGGAGAAGTGAGCAGGAAAAAAATCAAGTTCAGAGATACAGAAAGATGTTTACAGAGTGTGATCAACTTCCTGTCACATGCCGGTGACAGCACCTCACCGCTAAAGGTAGGAGAAGAATAATTCTGTAAGCATCGCATCTGGAGAGTAAGTATTATGCTGAGGGAAATATGCCAGTTAGAGAATGACAAATGCCATATGATTTCACTTATAGATGAATTTAATGAGCAAAATAATTTAACAAAGTAGAAACAGACTCATAGATACAGAGAACAGACTGACAGCTGTCAGAGGGGAGAAGGTGAGGGGCAGGGTGAAAAAGGTAAAGGGATTCAACAAAACAACAACAACAACAACAACAACAACAGCAACAAACACAGGCAACCAACCAAACAACAAAAAACAAATTCAAAATATGGTGATTACCAGAGGGAAATGGGGTGAGGAGGTAGAAGACGGTAAAGGGAGAGACACATGGTGATGGAGACATGACTTGGAATGGTGAATGCACAATACAATATGCAGATGATGTATTATAGAATTGTACCCCTGAAACCTAAATAATTTATTTATTTTTATTTTTTTAAAATATATTTTATTGATTTTTTACAGAGAGGAAGAGAGAGGGATAGAGAACTAGAAACATCAATGAGAGAGAAACATCGGCCAGCTGCCTCTTGCACACCCCCTACCGGGGATGTGCCCGCAACCAATATACATGCCCTTGATCGGAATTGAACCTGGGACCTTTCAGTCCGCAGACCGATGCTCTACCACTGAGCCAAACCGGTTTCGGCTGAAACCTAAATAATTTAAATAACCAGCATCACCCCAATAGATTCAATTAAAAAAAAAAAAGAGTTTAATTCTTGTGCTTGCCTAATTTTATCTAAGTGAGAGTATAACACTTGGTGCCAGTGTTAGACAATGTTTGTATTTTTAAAAGCATGGTGAATTGATTGCATGACACCTGAGTGAAAATGTCATGAAGAATTTTTTGGGGAAAGAAGGATAATAGTTAAAATAATTAGACACTTAAAATGTGTCAGAAACTTCCTCCATATTGTCTCCTTGGTCATGATTCTATGAGAGAGACACTATTTTTATTCCCATTTTACATACGAGAAAACTAAGACTCAGAGAAGTTAAATGACTTGCTTAAGGCTGCGTTGCTCGAAGCAGGTAGAGATGGAGTAAGGTTGAAAAGCAGGACTTGGTATTTGAATAGTTCAACCTGTGAGATTTAATTTCACCAAGGACATAGCGCAGAAAAAAAATAGCACAGAGAGCGGAGGGCATAACTACTTACTCAAGAAATATTTAAATACTTGGAGCATTATGCTAAGTGAAATAAACCAGTCAGAAAAAGATAAATACCACACGATCTCACTCATTTGTGAGATATAATGGACAACATTAACTGATGAACAAAAACAGTTCCAGAGAGAGATAAACATCAATCAGACCATCAAACCTCAGAGGGAAGGTATGGGAGGGTGGGGTAAAAGGGAGAGATCACCAAAGGACTTGTGTGCATGCATATGGGCCTAACCAATGGACACAGGCATGAGTAGGGGTAGGGCGGTAATGGAGGAATAAGACACATATGTAGCACCTTAATCAATAAATTTATTTAAAAAATAAAAATAAATTGCACCCCATGCTCTGCAATAAATAAATAAATACTTTAGGAGCTTTGATAGATCGAGCAACACTTCACATGAACTGGAGAAGAAGACAGCACATAGGTCAGAGGCAGACTAAGAGAGTGTTGTGGCTCTCCTTTAGTAATGCTGTTCATGGCATTTTGGGGAATAGAAAAGATGATCAGGAGTATCACGTGACTTAGAGAGGCTCAAGAGAAGGAGAGGTCAGATGTTGTGTGACTGCCAACGTGGTCACTGAGAGAACGCACAGGACCAGCAGGAACGAGAGGGACAGCCCACAACCACGTTGCAGGAGTATTCGCCCGTACTATGTCCTTATTCAAATGAAAAGAAAAAGGGAAGATACTAATTATTATTGCTATCGTTATTAGTTTTACAATTGTCTTTCTGGATTTATATCATAGACTTATCAAAGCAGTTATGTGGGGGCTGAATCATTAAAAAATTTGTCTCTTTTTATAAACAGAAGGGAAGAGAAAATAATATTTTCCAATTCTGCATTGCCTCCAGTTATGAGATGTGATTTATAAAGCAGCGAGGCTGGGTGTTGTATGGCGTATAAATTATTTCCGAGAGCACTCTGAGAAAGAAGTTCGAAATGGTTTGAGCAGCGGCAACGCCACTGAAATGTGTCTAATCTCCCAAAGTGGCTGCTTAGGAAGAGAATGCTCGTTTCGCTGCTTAGATCTCAGAACGCTTGTTGACAAATCTGTCACATTGCTTGCTAGTCACATCTCAGGATTGTGTGTCCTAAGTGCTCTCTCTTTGTGTTATGTTAGAATCCCGTCACTAATAGTCAAAGAAACATCTGCCTCTGAAATACTGAGTGAAATACTGAGAAATTACCAAGCCTTCTAATGCAGGC